TGCTGAGTTTAGTCTATTTTGAAAGGAAAAGGAAAAAAAGGTGTTCTTGCATGCCGGGCTACTGGAGCATCTCATGCTGGGGAGGTGTCCCTGTCCATGGCAGGGGCTTTGGAACTAGAGAATCTTTAAGGTCCCTTCCAACCCAAACCATTCTATGATTCCATGATCCGGTTTGCACCCTGCCTGCTCTGTATGAAGCAGCTCCAGCAGGCAGGCAGGAGGAGAACATAGCAGAAAGCAGTGTTCACTTGCCCAGCTCTTGCCTTCTGTTGTGATGGCAGCAGGTCTGGACCACCTATCTGCTGGCACCCTTGTAAATGTGACCCCCCTCTCTGTTTCCCCTCGCATCCCTCCTGCAGCCTCAGGCTCCCTGCAGCTCATGGGGCAAGAGCTGTGGCTACTGCCCCACAGCCTCAGGCTCACAGCAGGCTGGGCACTGCGGCAGCATGGGGTTGGAGGAGCTCTGGTTCAGGGGAAGGGGTGCCACAGGCATGGACACCACGTCAGGGAGGCAGGAGGTAAGGGACAGTGGTTGGAAAGAGCCAGCACGATCTCTGTGCTCCCTTGCAAAGCCCTCCTAAGCGTGTTTCTGGGGATGTGGGGTGAGGACGAGACCAGACATCAGCTGCACCGCTGTTGCAGGACACCAGGGAAAGCCAAACGCTGGCAGAGCCTGTCCCAGTGGTGAATGATGCTCAGACTAGCGTTGCTGGTGGGGTTAGCTGAGGACAGGAGCAGAAGACAGCAGGACGTGCTCAGCAAGCGAGAGCTGCAGTGCTGCGCTCCGGCCAGAGGAGGAACATGAATCCAGGAATCAGCCCGCTCCCCGTCCTTGCAGCAAATATCTCCCCTGCTCCCCAATAAGCTGCAGCACTTTTTTGTCACCTGACTGCACAGGTTTATGCAGCTTTATTAGTTGTTTTCTCATAGATAAAACCCTCAGATTTTTTGCAGCATCGCCTGCTTTCGTGTTTCTTACGCAATCCCTGCTCTGCAGTCCCCTAAGGAAGAGCAGCGCGGAGCCCTGGGTGCTGATGGAGGAGATGGCCACAGCTAGGCTGCCACCCCGCAGTGCCTTGGCCGGCTCCTGCACTCCAGAGTTGTCAGCCCCTGCCAAATCCCCTCCCTTTCCCTGCTGCTACCTCCTGCTAAAAAAAAAATAAAGAAAATTTTAAAAATGCACTGGGCCAAGTCTGTGTAGACTCGGTGATATTTTGAGCACTGCTGCCTGCTCCACTGTCTGAATCCAGATTTGCAGAACTTCTGTGAGTGACTGTAGAGTGTGGAGGGAAGGGACAATGGTACGAGTTGGTGTCCATCAATATTGGGCAAGTTGCTTTTTCTTTTAAGACCCTGGGAAACAGTGATTCCTGAGATCTTGCCATTAACACTAATGCATCTTGCATTAGTCTGTAACAGCAGGTGACCCTTGACTCTTGGGACCAAGAGCAAAACAAAGCCATCAGGTGCCCAGCCATGCCATACACGGCCTCAGTGTCATAAACCATCCATCTAATGCGCTGCCTAACAAAGATGTCTGCAAATTAAATTCCTTATTTAGGCAGGAGAGACTCTTCTGTACCAAAGCCCATTCATTGTGTTACCCTGCCTGCACCATGGGCTGTCTGCGTGCTGGTGCGCAGGGTAGTGATCGAGGATACAGCTGGTTTTCCAACAGCTGTTGGCCCCCGGCATCGCAAACTCACGCTGCTGCTTCATTTTTTTCTGCAGAGCTCCCCCCTCCCTGTGATGCTTTCTGTGCGAACAAGCGAACAGGGCTCCTGAAGGAAAAGTACAGAATGTGCTCTGCTAGCGCGCTGACAAAAATTGATCTCTGCTTTCATTAAAGCCTCTATTGTAAGTGACCTCAAGCTGCTAATGCATTTTAAAAATGAAGCCTCGCCAGCAGCAAATCCATACACCCCAATACAGAGGGGTGACCAGGCAGTGATCCATGCTGCGGGGCGGCTGCCCCCTCCCCACCGGCTGTGCCGTCAGCTGCACATCCCCGGAGGCTGTCCCACTGCACGGGCACAGGCTGAAATCCCCGTGTGCTCAGGCGGGATGCAGAGCTGATGTCCTCAACTACTCACAGGGGAGAGACACCATCCTGCCACCATCTTGCGCGATGGACTCTGTTGCTGCTGGGTTGTCTTTCCCCTCCTCTGGTGCGCGGCCACGGGATGCTCCTGCCTCTCACCTTCAGCACACGTCACGGGGATGCAACCACCGAGACCTCTCGCGATGCCCGAGTGAGGGGCCCAAAAACAGCAGAGGGAGGGAATCAGCAAGGGGCTCCTTGGGGGATGGCCCTGAGCCATCTCCTTGCATGGGGAAGAGCTGGGGTGATGGGCTGCCTGGTGTGACGGCAGCATGCAGCACTGCGTCAGCCTCAGCTGGGGAAAAATAAATCGTGTATATGCCCAGTTAAAGGCTTGTAAGCTAAAGAAGCTTCAGTCACTTGCAATGAACTGATTTGAAAGGGGAAAAGAGCACAAAAAGGCTCTCACAGGCAGCAAGTGACACCCGTACAGATACGAATGCCTCCCCTCTGCAGTGAGACCCAGCGCGACGTGGGGCCGGCAGCCAGCAGATGCTGCGGATGCTCTCACAGGCACCATGGTAACCCTGTGGCATCACCGTCTTGCCGGCAAGCAATGCATGGGCTGGTCGTGCTGCACCCTGTCCACCCTGGCCCCCAGCCGTGGGGTGTTGTCTGACCTCGTGAGTGTCCCTTGGGTTCACGTCATGGAGTGCACTATGGGCTGTGGGGTGAGTTTTGGGGACCTGTCCCTGGGCCACTGTTCTCCATAGCGATGCACTTGTTCCAGGATGATGGGATTTGGGTATTCCCAACCTGCCAGTGCCATCCAGCACCTGCAGCAGGTGATGGTTCCTCTGCATTTTGACCCGGCTGGTGACCGTTTAATTCAGCACCAAGTGCCTGACAGCCGCAGCAGCAGCTCGTGCCAGGGCAGGCTCCTTTCATCCCTGTGCTGCTGGAGGGATGCTCTCAGGAGAGACTGCATGGTGAAATCCCCACCCCGTGCCCCCGGCGCAGACCTCCTGCCCAGTCCTGCCTCTGCCCCAGCTCCCAAAGCAATGGCAACAGCCGGGGCCTGGAGGTGGCCTTGTGTCCTGCCTGGCTTGTGCTTTGTGCCCTCCCTGGTTTGAGCTTTGTGCCCTGCCTGCCAGCACTGCCCATTACCAGGGGCTCTCTGTGGTCAGGGGGCATCAGGGCTGGTCCCATCTCTGCACGCTGCTCGTCACCCTTTGAGAGGACTCTGATGCACCTAATGATGAATTCCCAGCTCTTTGAGAGAGGATTATGTCTTCCAGAGACTAGAACAAAATATAATAAACTTAAAATAGCTGCTTCCTTATGGAATATGCCAACAAGCCCTACTGAAAACCCAGTAGAGTGTAAATTTGCATAAATTTGCATACATCTCCATAATTTCAGCCTCACCCATCAGACCTGCTCCATTAATGAAGTGCTGCCTGACATTGCAGGCAGATGAGGGTATTTGACACACACCAGGCCGCAGACGCCACCGCTAACAAGGCCCTTCAGCGCTGCCGCTACCCCAACTGTCGTTAGAGCCAGGCCAGAGCGGCTGTCCCCAGCCACCAGGTCCCTGCCTGCATCCCTCCCAGCAGACCCCCGACACTGGCACCAAACCTCCTTCCCCTTGTACCACGAGAGGATGCGCTTTCTCGCTGCAGGGAATAACGCGATAAACTCCCAGGTAGGTCCAAGAGGGTCTCACCGCTGTTGGCTGGGCACTGCAGAAAGGAGAAAGCTCAGGCAGCTCAGCGGAGGGGATGGGGAAGGACGAAGCCCAGTGCCCACAACCAGGGGACGGGAGCCAGGTCTCCGAGAGGAGGAACAGAGGACCCTGTGCAGAGATCTCCCAGCACCAAACATGCTGCTGGAAAGCAAAATAATCTCCTTTTAAACCCAACTAATGAGTTCAAGCCCTGAAGGCTCCAGGCCACATTTTGAAATGCTTTTGAGCACTGAATTTCCATCATGCATCCAAGGATGCATCCCTCAGCCTGCTGCATGCCCTGGGCAACCCCAGCACGGTGCTGGCTAAAGCACAGGGTGCTGAGTTACACCCTGGCTTCCCCAGATATCACCTGAGACCCATGTCTCAACGTTGAACTGTATAAAAAGGACTGATACTTGCAAAATACAGTTTAAAACCCAGAAGCAACATCAGTGAGGTCATGCCTGTGTGGCTGAGCCCAAACGGCGAAGGTTTGCTGTGGTTTCCTTCACCGCATGGACACTTTTATTCAGGTGGGATCTGCTTGTGGCTGAGATCCCAGCAGGAGCAATGTGAGGGGCTGTGAGGGCTGGAGAGGCGGCGGTGTCCCCAGGGAGGTGGTGGCTGTCCCCACTGTGAGGCCATGGCATCAGGTCTCCGTCTCACTTGCATCATACAGAGGGTTGAGGTAGAATACCTGGTGGTCTTTGGGAGCCGTCTCCTGCCCTGTCTCCTCTCCAGGATCAACACTTGGTGGTTCCTGCAGCAGTGAGGGAGGGAAAAGCGACTGATGAGGAAGGGAAACAAAATCCTTGGCAAAACCCAGACAGCGCTGGGTCCCTGTGGCAGCTGAAGTGCTGGTGACCCACAGGAGGATGGGACTGTCCCACAAACCCCTCCTGGCCTGGGGAAAGGAGAAGCCCTGCCAGGGGCATTGCACCTTGTGTTGCACCCCACTGGCACTCGAGAGGGTCCTGGCTGGGGCCCCACCACCTCCTGCCCCGAGCATCCCTGTGTCCCTGGGCATTGGCAACTCACCACGTCGAACATGGGGTTGTCGAAGCCTTTGTCACTGCCTGGTGCAGGGGACACCAGGTCCTCCGCTCTGTCCCAGGGCCGGGGGACGCGCAGGGTGGGCAACCTGTGGAGAGACCTGGGCATCACCCACCCGCATCCCTCCCATCCCAGCCCCTCCCCCAGCTGAAATCCTGCATCTTCAAGAGGTGGATGGGAAAATACAGGGGCAAAGTTTCAGGCTGTCTTTGAATTGGATATTTGTATCCTTTCGCAAGGAAAGGCTGCCATATCCAGCAGAAACCATTAAGTCTGGAGGTCTGGGACCTGCATCCCGAATGGAAGAGTTTGTCAGAGGCAGACAACCCTAGCACAGGCTTTGCTTCGGAGCCATCGCTCTCCCCCTGTGGCCTAAAATGAATTGCCACAGAGCTGACACCTGTTCCCACTGCAATCTCAACAAGCACTAATTACTTTTATCGTTACTTTTATTATGTTATCATTTTATCATCTTAATCACCATCGCTGCTTTTACTATTTTCTTCATTACTCTTATCCTAAGGGTCCCAGTTACGGAGGAGCAACCCCTGCACCAGGCACCTGGTGCGGGTGGGCTCAGCAGTGGGTCCACACACATCATGCAGGTCCTGGGAGCCCACCGGTACTTCAACACTGTGACAGGTTCTATAGATGTGATCAGAGGAGCTGTGCTATCTGCAGGGAGGCTGTGACAGGCCCTTTTTACTGGCAACAAGCTAACTTCACTGGTTCACTAGTGGTCAGGACAGTTCCACTGCATGGAGGCAGACTGTTTGCAGGCTCCCAGAGCTTCCTGCCTAATTTGCAGCATCCCTGCTGATATCTAATGCCTCCACACAATGCTCAGCAGTGCTTCCCGAAAGGGTCCTGCCCTGCAGCCACCCAGCGACACACAGCAGGAGCAGGTCAGCTGGGGACGTGCCCTGGGATCAGGTTCAGCTCCGTCTCCTGTAGCTACGAGAACTTCCCTCCCTCTGCTGACAGAGCCGGTTTCAAAGGCCTGTCCAGCATCCAAGGAAGTGTCAGTGGAAGATAAATCATCAAGTAGCAATTACGGGGCTGGGAGTTTTATTTAGAAATTAAATGAAGGCGCGGGTTTATTGCTAGGAAATGTCATGTCAGCACGTGCAGAGTGGCAGGACAAGCATCCCTGGACATGGCCACTGCTGCGTGGTGAGAAAACTCTGGCAGAGGAACAGGGAGGGAAGAAACAACCAGACTTATGAGCCTGTGACATGGCCATCCCGAGCACTGGGAAGCTCAGCATCCCCTGGCAGACATCAGTGCACTTTGCATGTGCAAATTTAAGCATGTCCTGCCCCACGGAGGGTCCGTCCTGCTTGCCCACAGTCAGGTAGGTGAGATGAGCAGTAGTAGCTCAGCAGATGACCTCACACACAAAGACGTCCACCAATAAACCCTGCAAAACCCTGCACATGAAGGTAGGTGCCCTGAGCACCTGCTGTGGGCACCGCCGGGATGCCGTCTGCACTGCTGGAGCCCATCTCCAAGCTGTGAGGGGAAAAGGCGATGCAGAAAGGGCACCAGCTGCAGTGTGGTCAGGTGCCATGTACCCACCATCCCTCCCCTGGGACTTGCACAGGGCTCTCCATGCAGCATGAGCAACTGATGCCCTAGAAGCTGCATTTGCCTCTGGATGCTGTCATTCTCTTTCATGGCTACTAAGCTGCAGGATGAGTGTTTTGAGCTATTTTCATGCATTTCTATTTATCAGCTGGCAGTTTCAGTCCTCCACTCCCTGGCAGGGCTGCAAACTAATGGTTAAAAGGAACAGGAGATGTGACTGAGCAGCCTGACCAGGCTGTGCAGAGCTCCAGCCGAGCTGCAGAAGTTCTGCTCCTGCCAGAGCACACCCCACCATGCCAAGAAGCAACTCCTCCTGGCCCTGGAGGAGGCTGAAGTACCAGTCCAAGAGTATAAAATTGTGTTTCAGCCACCTCACCTCCAATAAACCATGAGGAACAACAAGGCCAATGGTTTTAAACTAAAAGAAGGTAGACTGAGACTAGGTATAAGGAAGAAATTATTTAGCATGAGGGCGGTGAAGCACTGGCACAGGTTGCCCAGAGAAGCTGTGGATGCCCCATCCCTGGAGGTGTTCAAGGCCAGGCTGGATGAGGCTTTGAGTAACCTGGGCTAGTGGGAGGTGTCCCTGCCCACGGCAGGGGGGTTGGAACTAGGTGGTCTTCAAAGGTCCCTTCCAACCCAAACAATTCTGTGATTTTATGAACCAGTAATGTTGGGTATAGCAGACTGCCTGGCCATGCCCACCACCCTGCATGTCCCTGTGCCACCAAGCTAGCTGGAAGGACAGCCTGGGGTGACAGCTGGCCTAAGTAGGAGAAACCTGGCAATACACTGCCATCAGAAACCCAATCCCTACCTTAGTTTTCCTTTTCTGTAGAGAAAGAGGATCCCTCCAAGCAACAGGAGACTGAAGAGCAGCCCCGAGACCGTCCCTGCTGTGATCTTGCTTGATGCATAGCTTCCCACTTGCCTGCTCAAAGTGCTGCCAGAGGCCACCTCCATTTTGGCACTTGAGATGCCAAGCGCCTCACCTGGGAAAGCGTAGGAAGAAACAGGGGTGAGGACTGGCCAGGGCAACACATTCCCACACCCGCACACAGCCGTGACTCATGCACAGGGCAGAAGGAGCCTGTGGTTGGGTCTGGCACTGCTGGCCTGGTTGAGCACCTTTCCCTGGGATGGGGCGTGGGACACACAGCTGGGTGGGCTCAACTGGGACAAGCCCATGTGGGTCTGCTACCCACACACCCACCAGGTCCCCTGGCTGTCATCTGCACGTTCCTTGGCATCTGCCAGCTTATACAGCTGCCTCCACGTGCAGCATTCTGGCTGGAGAGCAGCTCAGCAGAGAGGGACCTGGGAGTTCTGATGGGCACCAAGCTGACCACAGCCAGACACGGCATGGAAGGTATCCCAGAGCTGCATAAGGAGGAGAGTTGCCAGCAGACGAAGGGAGGTGACCCTTCCCCTCTGCTCTGCCCTGGAGACACAGCTGGAGTGCTGAGCCAGGCTCTTCTCAGTGTTTCCCAGTGACAGGGTTAGTGGCAACAGGCACAAAACGAAATACAGTAAATTTCACTTAAACATAAGAAAAAACTGGTTTACTGCAAAGGTGGTCAATCATGGGGATAGATTTCCTGGAGATGTTGTGGAGTCTCCATCCATGAAGAAATTCAAAACACAACTGGACACAGCCTTGGGGAACCTGCTCTTGGGGTGGGGACAAATAGTCTCCAGAAGTCCCTGCCAACCCTGGTAATTCTGATCCTGCAGTTCGGCTCTGCTCACCCCACTGTACTACTATGATTAAAATGGTAAAACTTCCGGGTAAGCAAAGTTCACTGCTGAAACCATCAGAAACAGTGTGTGTGTACCAGGAAGGCTTGGAGCTGTGCCAGACTAGACTGACGAGGACAAGGACTTCAGGAGTGTCCAACTCAGGGAGCCCCAATGAAGGCGCCACTTAATTCCCATGTGATTCCCTGGTGAAAGAGCAGGGACATGGGGCTGTACCCCTGGGGGACCCACCAAGGAGGACAGTGGCGTTACCGTGCTGTGTGATGTGCTCCATGATGTCTGCTGCCAGCTGCTCCGCAGCAGTGCCGGTTTGCACTCCTGCCCCATCATCGATCAGCACGATTTGGATGAGGGGAGTGGAGCTTCGGGGTATGACTCCCAGGAAGGTCTGTGCTTTGTCCACCTTGGATATGGCCATCTGCACGCCAGCATACTTGGGCTTTTCAAAACACAAGGCAATACATAAAGCCCATGGGAGCGGTAGGCAGAAATCAATCACCTCTATAGACAGCCACGATGGATGCAGCAGCAAGGCCCACCTATAAATCTTCATGTGAGGCCCATCACAGAGCTGCCATCCCTGTTACCGCAGTGCTATTGGGTTTCCCAAATGAGAGGTTCTTATCTCCTCTCCCTTCCAAGCCGTGACCAGCACCCAGCATGCAGCCTCCCCCTGCGGAAGCGAGCACGCCGAGAAAGCAATTCCATGTAGCACACCCGTTAAACGCTGTATTAAGACACGTGCAGCTGTAAGGAAGGCAGGCAGCAGGCTTCAGCTCGGGATCAATAGAGCAATACTCTGATATCGATCCCCCTAGGGTAACTCGGAGCACGCCTCCGCCCCCCAGCAGCTCCCAGCCGGGAGGAGGGATGTCATGTTGCATCTGACGAACAGCAGTGAGGAGTGATGCCTTGTAGAGCATGCATCTAAGTGCTGACCAGTGCCGGCAACCTAGCCAGTGCTTGCCTAACAGGGAATAAAAATCAGTCCAGCACTGGGAATGATCTCACAGAGCCTGTGGGATGCACTGCAACAACTTTGCCTGATCCCAACCGCATGGGCTGACCTCCCATGTTATCTCAACCTGACCCCTGGGCTGACCTCCGATGCTTTCTGGACCAGGCTTTCCAGCAACTCCCCCCTGCATCCTTCCCCATCTGCACGCCAGCAGCTGTTCCTGCCCCATGTTGAGAGGGGCAGTGCGGCTGTGGTGGGGAGCAAGGGAGGCTGCACCAGTCCCCCTGGCATGTTGGCACATCCAAGAGACCAAATGTAGGGGATGAGCCCTGGAGGTGCTGGGGAGAGAGGCTGAGCCCCCTGCATCACGGGAACCCCATGACCCCTCAGACGGCCCCAGCAGCACTGAGTCACTGGCAGACGAGGCCGGTGGCTTGTGGTTTCATTAGATGCTTCTGATACAGTGGGCTGACATACCTGGCTCAGCAAGGCTTGGACCAGTCTGTCCCGGTACTTCTGCAGGTCAAAATAAGGAGTGAAATCCAGGCTAATGGTGGCCCCTGCAGCCCGAAAACAGAGAGACACGGCATTGTCACTGAGCCTGGGCAGAGACCTGCTGCAGCAGTACAGCTACAACTGCCACGAAAGGCACTGGGGACCCTCCAGTACCTCCGTGCAACTTGTCTGGCAGGGCTCAGGAGAGGCAGCTCCACAGTCCTGCCTGAGCAGCGCTGCCCCAAGAAACCTCTCCCTCTCTTGCTGGTCTTTTTATCACCTGGATTTGGTGAAAGGCTTTGGTTTTCACCATATTCCAGAGAGAGGCTTGCCCTGGAAACCTTTCTCCTGCATGTCCCCCCTACCCGGGAAGCTCTGCATGTGCCTGGGTTTTCGGGGCTGCAAGGCTGAAATTCAGCAACTCTTCCCTGGCTTTGGAGGGGGGTCAGAGAGGAGGGGGACACCTGTGCTCCCCGTACTGCTGCCCTGCAGTCATTGGGTCAAATATTTTCCTTGGGAAAATACAAGTGAGCATTTGTTGAAATATTAAATTGTCCTAAAGGCTTTAAGAGGTTCTGCTTCTAGGAGCATGTTGCAGAAACATATGGTGCTGTTTCAATGCATTTGGTATGACATACCAAATATCTAGGTACAATTGTGCATGAAAAATTCTCCCTAACAGCCTTCCAGGTAGATTAATGGAGAAGTGCCCACTGCAGAGGGAATACTGTCAATTTGCATGTTTTTATTTTAAATGAAATGAAACAAACTTGCTGCTGGAAAGCTGACATTACAGTGGAAAAGGTGCATTTCCTCTGAGTGTTTTCCACTGCATAAACTCAGCAGAGCCCTATTAGCTTGACGAACTGTGACATCCTGACAGGATAAACCAGAGGCAGGGACAAACGGGTGCAACTCAGAACAGGCTCCCAAAAGCCAGGCTGATGTTTCAGAGAGATGCCCTGGGAGGGTGACTTATGGGATGTGGATGGGACTCAGGGGAGCAGTGCTACAGCAAAACTTCAGCCCACAAGTGCCTGGACCCCAAACCAGCAGCATCCCCCCACCCAGCTTCCCCCCAGGGGAAGGGGGCTGGGGCGGCTGGCACAGAGAGGAGGAAGAATAGGGCCATGCCCCCCACTCACCGCAGACCTCGCAGCAGTGGCCAAGGGGCTGCAAAGGGCTCTGGCACGTCAGTGCTGGGCACTGCCTCCCCGACGCCCTGAGCAGGGCTGCGCAGATGCGGTGGCCATCCTAAAGGAGAGCATGGCAGCGTCAGTCCCTCTTACGCCTTACCCCCCAAATTGCAATGGCACCCCCCCTTAATTGCAATGGGACCCCCTTAAATTGCAATGGGAGGACTCACCGGAGCATTCCCGCAGGAACAGCCAGACTTGTCGGAACAGCTGGTGCCCGTCACCTGGAGAGTGCCATTGCCGTGAAACTGCAGTGGAGCAGAGGGACCCCGCAGGTACCCAGCCCAGGCCTCGGGGCTGCTGAACTCCTGAGCAAAGAAGAGCAGCAAAGCAGGTGAGTATTCCCAGCCAGGTCCCAGTGCTGTCCCCAGGCACCGGCTGTGTCACCTGGATGCCTGGTGCCACGTCCACGTCTGCCAGCCAGCAACTCATAGGTGGTGAGAGCAGCAAGAGAATCCTGCCACTACACCCATTCAGGCTTTTCCACGGTGCCAACAGAAAAACCCTTTCTAATTTAAAACCAAAAGAAAAGGACCAAGCATAAATCACAAGACGGCTGGGCTATTTTTCTTCTTGTTTTCCCTCTTTCTGCTGGACCAGAGAATTCAATTTATCAGCTTCTAGGTGTGGGAGGAAAGGGCTGATTCCAAGGTGTTTTCCTTCAATCTGGGAAGCATTTCAGTGGGCTTGGCATTCAGTAAAGGCTGAGCTGGACTGACCAGCCTGGTCCTACCAAGCCAAGGGTAAGTCCCTCACCCATGGCCTTTCATGGGAGGCTTCTCCATGCCCTGGCACAGCAGAAGGATTTCTCAGGCCCTGGGGTGAAAATACCCCACACAGAGCAAGGAGTGGGCTGGCTACAAAGGGACAAAAAGTAGCTTATAAGGTCAGTTTTTAGGAAATATGCTATAATCACAAAAATAAAAAGCACCTTCTCCTTCCATCTCATCGCTCAGCAGCAGCCTCCACCCCTGGGCAGGGCCAGCTGCAGTCCCTGGAGGGGGGTGGATTTGTGGGGGATGCTGTGTTGTGGGGTGGTCCCTGGGCATCAGCAGGACTGGTATCACTCTGAGCACCCAGGACCAGCCACCTCTGCATCCTCAGGGCTACCTGTGTCCTAAGCGAGCTCCATCAGGGTCCTGCCTTCTCCAGAGTCGCCTGCACCCACCTGGACACTGACTGAGGTTATTACTCAAAAGCCTAATGACTGGCCCCAAAATGGCAGATCTCAGGCAGTGCAGCAGCAGAAATAATAAATAACTTATGAAATGTCTGCCGCATCTGCCACTCCTGGAAGCAGCATGTTTACTGCTGCAGCACCTGAGATCTTTCACTCCTCCGACCAGGGAACGACGGGGCTCGTCGTGTGCCTGATTCCTGGGCTGAAGCTTAGCCGGCTGCCAGCATGTCTATAATTATCGCTCCAATCAATTAAAGAGCAGTACTAAAGCAAAGCTGGGAGATGTCTGCTGGCCTACGGGCCATGTTAAGGGCAGGGACAGGAGGGAGGCATCCCCAGAGGGTCCCTGAGCAGCGCAGTTGCAGACAGGTGGCCAGGAAGGGGGCAGCCCTCGGGTGCTGGAAAAGATGCCATTTGCCAGTGGTTTGACCATGCACACTGGCCCTTTTTTTTTTTTTTTTTAATGTGAATAGTGAGATAGCCTGTGCTTCCACACTGCAGGCAGGGAAGCGACAATAAACCGGGAGAAGAAAAATAATCACCAAGACCATCCGCAGCAGCCCATGCAGCTGCAGCACCGTGGGAGCACCCCATCTCCACACGCAGCACCTCTCCTCCATCCCGGCTGGTCCTTTCTCTCCTGTCCTGCTCTGGGGCTTCCACGAGGAGGTGCGGAGCCAGTTTCTCATCATCCCCATGTTACCTGGCCCATGAGAGAGATGCTGCGGAGATTAATCACTCGCTGTGATGAGTCGATGTTTATCCGGAAGGAGGTTTCGGGCTGGAAGATAACATCATCGTAGCGGCACGGGACACGTTCCTCATCCACAGAAAAGATGTGCCCACTTGGCTCAAGCTCCTCGCTGGGGGACACAGCCTGCCACAGTGTGGGGTCGAACCATGCATGGTGCTCGGCGTCGGCAAATCTCACTGTCTCACCTGGGAAAGCAACAGGAAAGGTCTAGAATGAGCCTGACCCAAATCCGCAGCCCTGATGGATGTGTCTGGGCTGATAAATCAGTCACAGCTCACCCGAAGCAGAGGAGCTCGCCCTGCAGGCGGGGGGCAAAGGGCTGTCCACGGCATCGCTGTCCCGGGCAGCTGCTGCAGACACCTCTCGGAGCCCAGAAGAGGCTCAGCAAAGCTTTCCAGTGCTCAGGGTTGGGGTCTCAGCAGCTCAGCACAGACCCCATTTCTGGCTGCAGACGTCCAGCCCCAGATCCTACAGGATATTTTTCCTCCCCCCTTCTTTAAAGCTTATCCTTATGGTTAGGGGGGGAAACAGCCATGTAGCCCAAATGCTGAGTAACAGCTAAACCAGATAAAAATGGGTATGGTGATTCATGGCCCATTTTCCAAGCAGCCCGGCAGGCCTGCAGAAACGTGACCAGCCCTGTTCCCCGCAGCGGGTATCCCCAAAACCAGTGAGCCATTTAACCAGTAATTATTTAACCATTAACCATTACCCTGCTGGTCAAAGTATCATCCCGCAGTGCCCTGCTTCCTTCTCACCCTTCCCCAACTGCTGAATCTTTACTGACTCAGCTAGCATGCAGGCATTTATTGACTGAATTATTTGCATTCATTCTAAAATCATGCTTTTAAAAAAATCCATTTGTGAAAGTTGCCCCAGAAAGGTCTGTTGATTTCAGGGGAGCAGCACGTGGTCA